TTGGCTCTTCCCCCCTCGCGCCCTCTGTGTCCCCTCCAGTGCATGCGCAGTGATCTGACCTGCTGCTAACAGGCTTCACAAATAAACCGCTGACATGGTTCATTCTGCAGGGTTTCAGGAAAGACTTCTTGGCATCTTAAAGTTTCTTCAAAGAATAATTATGGTAAAGAGTACGGAGAAGATCACTGAGGATCAAATGATGTTACATTTCCAGTTCGGCTTACGTAGCTCAACTATGGCGCACATGAGGGCTGGTGATCAGCTACAAGTTACCAAAAAAATTCGTAAGTTGACTAAGGAAATAAGAGGGTATGACAATGATCATTTAAAATAAAACTGCCAATAAATTGCAAAGGATATAGAAAAAAAAAGACAAAAAATGTAGGGATGTCCGATATTATTAGCCCAATATTAGCATATTATGTAATATCTGTAAGAATCGTTATCGTTTTTTTCCTCCAGTAATGAAAACCTGATAATGCAATGCCTGGGTTTTGCCAAATGACCTGCGCCCTAAAAATAGCTTTGGGGATAAACGGCTGATTATTAAAGTGAAAGTCACTAGATGGCAGCATTGCAGCTGATGTAATAAAATTCATACTCATACAATGGATAAATAATTAAACATTACCAGGACTGTATCAATTGATATCGGATTCGGAAATTAGGTGTATGGACAATATCGGCCTATCGGACATCAGCAAAAAGTTAATATTGGACATTCCTAAAAAAAAGGTTTCTAATCAATAGCAAAAAAAGAAAAAAAAAACAAAACAACCTAAATGTAAAAATATTTTTTAAAAAAAGAAAGAAAATATGATTTTTTTTTTTTCCAAATTGGCAAAACATTTCACCAATGTTAGCTAAACGTGCTGTCATAAAAGGTATGACAAAGTTGCTACACATGAATACAGCCCAACCCAAGAAGTTAGAACGGAAAATAAAAATTCAAAATAAATATTTCTAAAACAGTAAAATGTTACGAGAGTCAGAAATGATATATCAAAACTAAAATATATATATATAACTTTAAGAAGCCAAATGAAGCTAAATGTTAGTCCAGATGAAAACTAAAATACCACTTGGTGAACGGCGAACTGACCCCAAATAAGACAAGACCTTACCATCGCAGAGCAATCTTGATGGGCGTGGTGAGACAGGAAGTGAAGAGGTCAGCAGGGAGGTCGGGGTTCATGGGTAACAGCTCGTTGGCCTCACAGGCGGCCAGCTGAATGCAGTTCTTCATGGATGGAGGCAGGGGCATCTGGGCAAGAGGGTGGCTGGGATTGATGGCCGCCACCTGAACAGACAGGACACCAGAATTTGATTCTCACTCCTCTGACTTGTTATTCTGCAGAGACGACGACCTGAGACTGAGGGAGTGATGAAAAATATGCAAACATGAATCGGTCATGGAAGCCTGGTGCTCCATCATGGCTGTGTGATGTAACAGGGCCGTGTGCATACATCCAATCAGGTGAAGGTTTACATCCGTAAAAGTGTGAGTGAGATTCAGTGATTGATTTAACTGCACCACAGACTGACCTGCTGCGTGTGGACATGAATAAATAAAAAAAAAAAAAACAGACACAAACAGAAGTTGGGTGATGGACAGGTGCACTTTAAAACGAAAAAGATATGTTTGTGTCCTTCAGGGGACAAAGAAGACACAGCCAGAGAGGGCAGCCCTGAGTCCGGAAACATTTACTCAGACTCAGACCTGTCAAAGATTTTGAAGTGTTTTGTTTTTCTCTGTAAATGATTTGATATGAAATTCCAATATGAATTGAAATTCCAATATTTTCGTACCGTTTTCTTCAGCAGTGTCCCGTATTCGGAACTATTTTAAAATATTAAAATTGGAATGTGTTTGTCTTGCTCTGCAACTTCTCAACGGGTCCCAATTTTTGGAGCCACCATTCTACTACACTATGGCAGACATTTTAAATCCAAGACCAGAAACAAATCAGTTTTCCAGAGTGAACAAACTTTGGAAGATCACAGGTTGGATTCCGTTGGTCTTCCTTAACCTTGAAAATCTTGAAAAGTGTCCAAATGTCTGTGAATAAGTATAACATTAGTTGAACCAAACAACTCCTCCTTTTTTTTTCTGTTTGGTGAAAACAGGAGGACTAATCAAACGCCTATCGTACATGCCCATTCTCTTGTTCTATAGGTTTTACCACTTCATGCTTCCAGGCAATCGAAGGCTCCACCGAGACATTTTGCGACAGGTAATGATAATGTGATAGTTTATTGATCCCGCGGAGGAAATTTTCCTCTGGTGTGTCTCTTCAGGAGGGCCTCCTCCGGTGGTAAACAATCCTCTAATCTATCCTGAGAACAGGTTTAGTGTGGCGGCTAAAGACTGCACGATCGGTCAATACGTTCAATGGTGAAAGATGGAGGAGGCTTATGCATGATGTAAAACTTTAATTATAATTAGGGCCCCTGACTATCCTGTGTTCTCTGCGCTGTTGATTTGTTTTCGGTGACTCGGGCTCTGTTTGTCTTTCACTAAAGAGACTTTAATGAGCTGTGGGTCTTAATGCAGGCAACAGATCCACGACTTCTCTTTATCATCGCTGACTCTTATGGCTTTCTTTCATTCGGCAACCTTGCCTCAAATCAGTAAGGAATTAAATGGAGATTAGAACCATTATTATCTTCCCCTTTAACGCAGGACTAAAGCCTGGACGCGCTCCCAAGAAAGCCGACATCACAGCGGCCAACGATGTCGAAGGACTACACCGAACATGCAACCCTTTTTTAACCATTTCAACTGAACATGTTACAACCTCCTGTTTTCTACCACCCGGTCGTGCCAGGACTTGTCTGGACCTGCGTTCAAGGTGTCACTGTGAGAACAACCCGCTATCAGAATAACCATGGAAACACATTTAACTTCAGACAATGATGCAATAGGGAATTTAGAACACAAATTGTTTTTCAATCGCAAAATTTCAATCACAAAAAACGACTGGAATCTGAAGGGTTTGCAAAGAATCCTGCAGTAGAAGAAGCTGAAAATAAAGGGACAACATTTTTTACAAAACATTTATCCATCGATCCATCCATCCATTTTCATCTTCTTATCCGTTACCAGGTCACGGGGGCAGCAGTCTCCAAGAACCGCCACACAAATCACACTGCAACCCGCCTCAATCCCCCTAAACCTTCCAGCAGGTGGTGAGTCCACTGGAAGGTACCAACCGCCCTAACCGGGATACGATCTTGCCCAGAAGGTGAACCCTGGGGTTCCACACCCATGACAGAGACATTGCCTCTGGGCCAAAGCGCCACACAAAACATTTATATTGAAAATAAAGAACCTCTTGGTTTAGGGCAGTAGCCGTTTAGGTTACAGTTAGTGAACATCTAGCTGAAACTTTGACCTTTGCTACACATCTCACAAAACCAACATATGAAAAAAATGAATTTTCAAAATTATAGTTTTCCAAGTCAAAATCCATGACCCTAAAAATCAAGTCCATATAAGTCCTTGCAGTAGTACCTTTGAGTTGTTCTCCATTTGCGTTCAACTTTGCTGTGTCCGTCGACGCCATTGGAGCGCAACAAGTGGGTGGTGACGCTAACTGCTAGCTCCCATATCAACACCTTGACGGCTTTTGTTTAATTAGGAATCTTTAGGCTTCACAACTGCTAACAGGAAGTCGCACTGAAGCTCTCAACACCTGACGCAAGGTAGAGGAAAGTCAAACTTCCGGAGGCGATCGCCGAGGGGCGCGCTCGTCTCCCTGCGCCTGCAGAGTTAGCAACGTTAATTAGGGCATAAAACCAGAGCTCACTCGCAACCAATGAGCCACAGGCTGCGTCGGCAGACAAGGATCAGGAGACAAAAAAAAAAAAAAAGGCCTTCTTAATAAATCTGCTGCCACCTAACTCAAGTTGTTCCATCCAGTTCAGCTCTGCTCGCAGCGCAACACAAGAGGCCCGCGATGCAGTGCTGTGGATTTATGTAATGCCTCCACACTGCTGTATATACTGCACAGCCTTCATACTCTCGCCCCGACCAATAACTCATTAGTTGACTCTATAATGTGTTGGAAGTCAGCAGTCCCCGACCAATAACTCATTAGTTGACTCCATAATGTGTTGGAAGTCAGCAGTGGCGGCAGCAGCAGCAGCACAACAACAGCAGCAGAAGAAGCCAAGCTTCCAGTACGAGACTTGACGTATTTACACTCCTGCTCTATAAGGGACTCAGCACAAGACATGAATAAATCATGTTGTTTAAAATACAGAAAATTTTTTTCTTAATGACAGAGAAGGGCGGTACTTAGAGACACCGAAGCCTCACTCTTTTTTTTTTTTTTTTTTTTTTTCTTTTCCTCTCTCCTCATATCCACATGCATATTTCATTTCTTCTGAAACGTTTGCAGGCGTGGAGTGGGTGTCCGGCCACTGCTGCAGATGATGGATCTGTGCCACCAGTCTCCATCTAACGCAATCTCTCCTCTTTTTTTTTCTTTTTTTTTTCTCCTGCCAACTCTCACTCTCACACACACATCACTAAACAAAGCAATAGCAGCCCCTCCCTGCCCCCCCCACCACAGCCTTTTATTGCTCCGACCTGACAACACTGTCTCCTGAGAGAAATGTGGACAAAGTGTGTGCTGCGGTAATCCTGACGGTAAACGTGACACCATTGCCAGCAGCGACTGATTAATGCCAGGCATTGGTTATAATTATCACATTAGCATATTGTAATCTCACAAATTAACATGAAAATCATGGCGGCTTTCTTTGCTTTCATTTCCACTGGGGATAATCAGGAAGCTGTTAGTGTCAAGGATTTTTTTTTTTTTTTTTTCATCTTCCCTTTTTTAACTGGAGTATTTCCAGTACTCGTTATTTTAAGTGTTTGGGCCATAATGCTGTACTACAGAACCAGAAGAATACATGATCTAGAACGGTAAGTGCTACCTGACCCTTGGATTTAAGGTCAGTTATAATTAACTATAATTTCATTTTTATCTCTTTAATTTTTTCCATCCATCCATTTTCATACACTTATCCGTTACCGGGTCGCGGGGGCAGCAGTCTCTATGACCGCCACATCACACTGCACCGTACCAACCCCCCTGAACCTTCCTGCAGGTGGTGAGTCCACTGGAAGGTACCAACCACCCTAACTGGGATTTGGATTTTTTTAAATTTTTTTTTTATAATTACCCAAATGCTTCAGTTGGTGATTTAAGAATGAGATTAATGATCTGTTCATGGTTTTTGCAGTAAAATATTATAATATTTATAGTAAACAAAATATACTTTTTTTTTATTGAAGGTCAATCACTGAAGTGGCCCTTCAATGAAATGACGCTCCTTCATCATGTCCCTCTAGCACAGGCATATATTTATATCATCATGATACTTCTGCCTTTTCCCTGCAATGTCCACGTTTCGCCAATAGATGGCATAGAAAATGCTAAAAGCATTTCAGCCTTCATGCAGGACTTTTACATGTCATTTATTTTACATGTGGCCCACGAGTCAAAAAGTTTGCCGACGCCCGACACAACAGTGCTGCACACAGGACTTGGATGGATTTGAAACCTGCAACTTTCTGAACAGCTGCCTGGAATCCTCCTTATCCACACCAGCTCACTACCGTTGGACAAACGTTTACAGGAAACACTACATCATCACAGGACAGGATGGAGTGACCACCATCCCCATCTTCAGTCACTTCAGCTAATATTTTCGCAGCAACACTTTATTGATCTGTTTAAACAGGAGACGCACACACGCGCGCACATCTTTCCAGTCCAGCACTGACGCAGCGTCCGGTCTTCCTGAGCCAACACAGGACGGAACTCAAAGGAAGAAGGAGCTCTTAAAATAGAGCCTAACACACACACACACACGCACGCACGCACATGAATCTCGAATGACTAACTGACTTTCTGAATGGAGGAGGAGGAGGATGGCGTGTTGGTGCTGTGGAGAAGTAACAAAACACCACCTCCTCCTCCTCTTCCTCTTCCTCCTCCTCCTTTCACATCTTTTTCTTTATACTCCTTGCTAGAGACCACAGTCCCTGGTGAGGAAGGGGAGAGAGCTGTGCGTGCGTGTTGTTTCGTGACGCCGCTCGGGAACAGGCCCAACCATGAAGCGCATGCCAAGCGTCTGGACGCGAGGGTTTGGGGAGGAAGAGGAGGTGTGCGTGTGCGTGGGCGAGGCGGGTAGGTGGGGACTCCCTGCCTGGCTCATCTCCTGCATGATTAACGAGCCTGTGAAAGTCAACGCCTCCGTCTTCATCTGCCACCGCCCGTCCCC